CCAATCAGCGCACGGTAAGTTTACTTGCATAGTAGACAAATAGCCCTTCTCTGTGACGGTCGTGGTGATGGTGATTCACCTCCTAAACGGGCCGCGTGGTAGATGCGCTGGAGCAGCACGGGAGCTTGATCAGGGCACGGCAGGTGTTAGTCGGGATGTGCTCTCATAACAAATGCTGAACGTGGGGGCGTGGTGGTGAGATGGCACGCGTAAATGGGGACTCATGCCGCGCCAGCCCCCTGCACCCGATCCCGCCTCCGGTCATGTTGAATCTGCCTTGACACCAGGCACATGTGGCTAAGAGAGGGGAGAGTGTGGTAGATACCGCGCAAGTCTACTAGTACTTAAAACTAATTCACGCGCATGTCATTTGCCTTGCACCACCATGCTGCGTAGCACACAGTAGACCCCCCCCATCGGATAAGACAACAGAGCTGAAAGTAAGCGTATGAGGAGGTCAGCTTTGCCCCGACTTAACTTCGATTATTGACCCGCATTTTCATGCACTGAATTCCTTAAGCCAGACTATTTCCTATAGCATGCACCTCTTCTTGTAAATCGTGGTCCAAATTTCAGCAGTTATCTTCTGGCTATGATCTCCTCTTCCCAATCTTCTAAGATAGTCTGGCACCTTTAAGTCAATTTATTAAGGGAAGAAGGCTTTCGCCCTTGAGCTCCCTTGAGCTCCGTAGAGTATTTCTCTCCTCCCCTCAGGATCAGTATTAATTGGTTTTTAGGCAGATAGTATTACCGGCATAGACAAGGGAGACTGGAATGGATGTTTCTGGCTAACTAGCCGTCATCAACCGGTCATACCCAGACCCAAGTGACGTCCCACTCGATTTTCAAACCCGCGACCTCTTTGATCAGAGTCAAACGCCCTAACCATTGAGCCCCGAGCTCGTTGTCTTGCCGGGCTAGGTCGAGAGATATTGAACTTCATTGATGAACGTTCTCCCGACCGATAGCGGAACTCATCTGTCCCGATCTGCCTGGGGTCTTGACAGGGACCCCAACAACCGTAGCAACTGGTAGTGTAGGCAGAGAGTATTACGGGTGGGACGCCACTTGAGCTGGGTAGGACTGGCTGAA